TTTTTTTTTTTTTTTTTTTTTTTTTTTTTTTTTTTTTTTTTTTTGGCATATTTCCCCTGCTCTTCCAACAGTTTAGGCAAACAGGAAAGTCAGTTGCTTCCAAGGGATCTCGCGGCCAGATTTGTTTAATTTTTTATTTTATTTTATTTTATTATTTTTTAAATTGAAGCATTGGTGAAAGAAATGATAATAAATAGGCGAATTGAGGGGTAGGTGAAGAAACCAACCCGCTGGGATCGTAACTACGGTTCTGCCTCTTCAAGTCCCTTGTCCCCCCAGGTCCCCCTCCAGTCCCCCCCCGTACAGGATGTGCCCCCGCTTGGCTGCAGGGCCCCTCCACTTCTGATAAACCGCACACAACGCACAGATCCACCTTGGGAAACTTTCCCTTCTTCGCTTTTATATTTACGCACTTCTTTCTTTTATAGGCGTATGTTTCCCAGTTACAAAGTGAAGGTCACTGGACTCAATCCAAAAACGAAGTACATACTGTTGATGGATATTGTACCAGCGGATGACCACAGATACAAATTTGCAGATAATAAATGGTACGCACTCGGGGGGGAGGAGGGAAGGGAGCGCTGATTCTTGTCGGGCTGCCCGATCCCGGGGCAGCATAGGGTGGGAGATGCTGCTGCTGGATGCTGGGCTGTACCTGAGGGTGTCGGGACGCACCTCTGGAGAACAACACAAAAAGAAAACAAACAAAAGAGAGAGCCTAATCTGTTGCAATTAGAGAACAGTGCCTGTAATCCTGCTTAACGGTGAGATCGTTGGCCATCCTGGTGCCAATAGTTTAATTACCCTTCGGGCAGCAGCTTCTCCAGGCGGGGGAGATGCTGAAGGATGGATACGCGGTGTTTTCTTTGCTCCTTGTTTGGGTGTCCGCAATTAGGAAGGAGGAAGGATGGGGTTAAATGGGGAAACGGCCACCTCGACGGGAAAAGTGCCAAAGATCTCCATTAATTCTCCGCGCACTGTGTGTGTCCGTAAACGTCTTTTTTTTTTTTTTTTTTTTTTTTTTTTTTTTTTTTTTTTTTTTTTTTCCGAAGACCGCCGGGCACCACGGTGCTGGGGGCAGGAGGGGGGACCCCACGGGTGGGAGCTCAGCGCCTCTGTCCCACGCAGGTCCGTGACTGGGAAGGCAGAGCCGGCCATGCCCGGCCGCCTCTACGTGCACCCCGACTCCCCCGCTACCGGAGCCCATTGGATGAGGCAGTTGGTTTCCTTCCAGAAGCTGAAGCTCACCAACAACCACCTCGATCCCTTCGGACATGTGAGTACCGTGCTGGGATAGGGCCGGGAGACGCGGATTTGTGCTTCACAGAGCGACCGTGGGATCCCACGCGCAATCGGGTCCCTACGAGTGGCATCGCATTGCCCAGAGCCACCGAACCTGTAGTCTAAATCCATTATCTGATTGGGGTATTATCTTCCCCCCGGTAAGACGGGATGAGCCCCAGTGATGACCTCCTACCCCCCCTCCCCCCCCAAAAAAAAAGGATACGTAGCCCATGTTTTAAAGATCTATTTCACAGCACTGCGTGGGAATTGATTACAGACCGCAGTGCCTGGCTTCAGTGACACCTCAGCTACCTGGTTTTAACCCGAAGGGGGTCTGAAAGCCTTAAAATCTGCCCGTAGCTTCCATGAATTTGGCTAACGGGTAAAAATCAATCAGGCATAATTATTGGAGGAAATAGGACCTACAACCACGTGGTTGAAAAGAAAAAAAGTAAAAGCCAAATCGCACCATCAACCATTGTTGGATCCAAGGGGCCGTGAAAGCTTGTGTGAATTCTGCAGCCAGAAGCAGCCCACCTTCGGAGGTCTCCAAAGACATGAGTTTTTCTGAGCAAATGTATATATGCGTCTATGAATTATAAATATATATATCTATAAAAATATATATAATTACTTAAGCGAGTATATGAATCCAGATCCCACCAACCTTTTCCAAGAACCCATTTTTCTCCAGTCTCATTTCAACACTTCGGTTTCACTTTTTTTCCCCAAGCTTTTTTTTTTTTTTTTTCTTTTTTTCCTTCTTCTTCCTTCTGTTTTCACTTTTTAACACTGAAAACCTCATGTTCCTAAACCCTGTCCGGTGGGGGCGGGGAGTGGGAGGAAACCAGCCGAGCCCGCAGCGCACCTGAGCGCTGAGCATCGCTGTCCGAGCCGCGCTTTCCCTCTCCAAATCAGGGTTGGTTGGTTGATTTATTTACTATTTATTTTTTTTCCTTTGGGACCCGAATTAAGGCGCTTTGCAAGCGCTGCTTTCGCTTATTATTATTATTATTTAATGTAATTTTGTTTTGGAGGGGGGAGATTTTGGGGGGGGATCCGGACGGGTTCCGGGGCCAGGCATCTCCCGCTGCGAGCAGGCGGCTCTGGGGAGAAGTCCCTGCAAGCAGAGTCGGGCTGCTGGGTCAATAGGGACTTCAGAGGCGGAGCTGCACCGGGAGCCTCTCAATTAGAGTCGCGGTAATGAAATTAAAAACCATTAGATCGTTCACCGTTGATGTCTACGGCTTTCCCGGATGTCAAAGCAATTTGCCTAAACCCCCGGGAAGGGGGAGGCGGCGAGGCGGTCGGGGTCTGGCGTTGAGGCGCGCTGCGTCTCGCTGTCGCCAGGGTCCGGTCATTATCGGCGCGGGTCCCCCCCCTCCCCCACCGTCCCCATCCCCGCCACTGTCCGCGGAGATTAACCCGGTACGGAGCAGGGGCCGCTTTTTATCTTGAGCGCAGCGCTTCCCTCCCCACCACCCTCCTGCCCCATCCTCTGCGGGTGACATGGTGGGGGGGGGTGGACACACGAATTCCTCTGCTTCTCATCCCTTGCTTTGCTGGATTGCTGGGAAGATTGAGGTACCCTTGCTAGGGGTGCTGCAAGAGAAAGAGAGCCCCCTCCAGCTTTGGGAAATGTGTTAGGGGCCCTAATGGGCTCCTTGGCTGTGGCGGAATGCTTCTCTGGAGAGGTGTTTCCTCCTCCATCCTTTCTGAGGAGCTCTGATGTGGGAGAATCTTTTGGAGAAGGGACAGCAGTTCCCTCTCTGCCTCCTCTCTCCATGAGGAGGTTGCACGGGTTGGGAATGTGCGGAGTTGTGCCCCCTCCATTCCCATGGTCTGTCCTCTCTTTCTCCCCATGCCCAGATCATCCTGAACTCCATGCACAAGTACCAGCCCCGGCTCCACATCGTGAAGGCAGATGAGAACAATGGCTTCGGCTCCAAGAACACAGCCTTCTGCACCCATGTCTTCCCAGAGACCGCCTTCATCGCTGTTACATCCTACCAAAACCACAAGGTGAGAGCTTGGCCGGGCCTTCGCACCAGCAAACTGTGTCTCCTCTTCCTCACTCCCTCCTGACACAGTTTCTTTTCGGGTCCTTCCCACCCCACCATCATCTCACTCACCTCCCCACTTGCCACAGTACTGGCTCCCTTATGTTCCCCACACCCCTCCCCATCCGTCTAGATCTGTTCTGTCCCCATCCCCTCTGTTATTCCTGGCAGTACACACAAA